GAAGTAACGAACACTGCCAGTTTAGGTCTTTCGGACAGTCGTAGGAGAATACCTCTCTATTTTGTTCTCGAATTTTTCCAAAGTTAATACACTGACTGAATGACCCAGAAGTAACGAACACTGCCAGTTTAGGTCTTTCGGACAGTCGTAGGAGAATACCTCTCTATTTTGTTCTCGAATTTTTCCCAAGTTAATACACTGACTGAATGACCCAGAAGTAACGAACACTGCCAGTTTGCCAAGATCGGGGAATCCATACAGAGTCGAATGATTAGTTCGGTGAACTGCGTGTACTATGGTCAATAACCCACACAATGTAAATAATTCACATTACATGTATTACTACTTGCAAACTGATTTTACGTTTTTTTTCCTGTTTGAAAAACCCAACAAGATGACTTTATACGTCTGCAGTGTAGTAATATAAGTATGGTCAACGTGCAAAAATAATCAGACGGGTAGGTCGTATAAGGTCACGTCAGGTATGGGCCGGGGGGACCTAAACAGTTACGTATCTCACAAGACGACGTATCATAGAGTGGCTGCATATTTGTCGCTAGATTCGCTGATAGGAAAACTCGTGGACAATCATTAATGTCAGAAGGCATATTGAAGTGTGCATCAGGTTCAAACGGCTCGGACGCAACCCATCATGTCACGAAAGATTTGTTATGGTATTCATATCATCGGATACTAGTAACTCTGGTGAAACGCGATACTGGTCCATAATCTCTTCACGACTTACCTTATCACGGACAACGGTTAAGTTGTCCCGATGTCTCTGCTCTGAAGAAAATTAACGTCAAACACGCACAATGCTGGATGGTACTGGCAATAGTTGACGCGATGACCTCGTATCACCGAGTCGTGGAATTATTAACCAGGATGGGTAACTGACGTTTGTGTCGATTTATGGGATCATTTCTTGTACAAGCTTTTACGGTTTAACCATTGCCACATTACTGTAAAGTACTTTATTTTTCACTTGTAATTTATTTTCCATATTTTCGGGGAAAGTAAAGTCCAATGAGGACACCGGTTTTTCCTATATTTGACATTTAACTCAAAACAAATCTGAGAGAATAAACTTCATATAAGACAGCAAAAAATGGCTTTTCAGCGAAAATGAAAATGAATCCCCGCTAATGTAAAAAAAAAAAAACAGACACCGACTAACAATGTTATAACGTATTATCAAAGTGAAAGGACTAATTTCATAATCAAAATACTAGTAGTATAGTCTAATGTTATTATGTTTTCAATTTCATTGATCTTTATGGTGTCAATAAAGCACTATTCTATATTATGAATATACAAAATTTGATCCATTATTTGACCCTTGGGTAGTATCTATTTACCAATATGGCATTAATTAAAGAAGCTTTGTGCAATTGGTCACGTGGTTCGGTTACCGTCATGAATTGAAATAGTTCCATTTTAGTGATGTCACGGTGACATGGCACTCCCCATTCTCTTTCGCAGAGACTATGGGTCTTTTATCACTAAGCTAGGTAGTCGCTAGGGAATGCCCCACAGTGAGAAACTATTTTTTATCGGGGTCCACGAGAACTTTCGTAACGTTAAGCTGATATGCACCACCGTGTATGTCCCAACTTTTTGAAAACGTATATATTGCCATAGTTGCATGTTTGGTGACTAGAGGTTAATAAACATAAACATAAACAAATAATGTATTTGACATGCGTTATACCGGTACACGCCGCACAAGACTAAATGTTTATTTTACAATCGTTTTCACTAAACATTGGACAATCAGATTGTGGTAAATGTTGATACATCAGAGCAAGTACCTAATGAAATTGCCACTGATTTTATCACTACTAATCAAAACATCATAACTGTAGCATAAACATTTTTGATACAATGTATAACTGTCTGTACTCAACTCATTTACATAAAATGTTACGTTTGTGTGTGTCCCAGTAGTGTGTCCAGACACCCAGCGCATATAACGCGGGAAAGTCGGGAGTACATGTAATTTGGTGACAAAATGCAGTCTCATAATTCGACACACAATTTAGTGTACGACAGAAAATTGTTGAACTTTACTTAAATTGG